GAGGCGGTCGGCCGGGCGGCCCCGCTCGCACCTGGTCCCGGCGCGGCCTGCGGGCCAGCGAGGTGCGCGCCGTGAAGTACTGCTCCAGCTCGGAATCCGAGTCTTCTTGGCTGCAGTAGCCGCTGCTGGTCGTGCTGCTCCAGGTCATCTCGAAGGAAGGCGTCTCCGCCTCGCCCATCGCCGCGCGCCCGCCGCCTCGGCCCGCGTGTGCGGAGCCGCCAACCAGCGCCGGGGCGCCGCGGCCAGTGCGCGCGGGTCGGGGTGCGCTCCGCCGGGGCCGGCGCCTCCCCGCAACCGTTAAGACTGAGACGCGGACGCGCGAGCCCCAGCTCGGGTCTCATTGGGGGAGGAACGTCGGAGGGCGGGGACACACTCTGCGCGTCCAAACATGACCTCATCGCCCAGGCAGCTCTCCTGCAGCCCAGCCCGCCGGGCGCGGTGGGAGAGTCTGCGCATGTGCGCCGACACGGGCGGGGAGGGGGGGGGAAGGCGGGCTGCGCGCGTGCGCAGAGGCGCGGCAGGGCGGGGGCCGGGACCAGCTGCGGGGTGGCTGGCGTTAACCACTCTGTCCCAGGAAGTCAGCTGCGGGTTAGGACGCTCCCTGGGCGCGGAGTCCCGGCTACCCGTGGACGCCGGCTCCTCGCCCACCTTCCCCCCCGCGCACTCCCGCCCCCCCCCCGGGACAGCCCCAGCCCGGCGCTCACCACGTTTGTGTCCCGTTCCAGCGCGGGGTCCCAGCCCAGGTCCCGGGGCCCGCAGCAGTCCAGGCAGACGAGCGCGCGACAGCGGTAGTGGCAGGTGAACTTGCAGTCTGCAGACAGGGAGGGCCGTGAGGCGGAGGAGCCCTGGCTGCCGCTCCGAAGAGCGTCCCGGGGGCCGAGGGGGAGCCCCGATCGATGCGGGCTGCATCTCGCCTGGCTCCGCGTGGCCCGCCCTGTCTCAGGCCCCGTCACCGCCCGCTGCTGCCTGCCCAGTGCTGATTTCCAGGCTATCTAGAAACTGGCTGGAAGGCAGTTAGGGAACAAGGCTGCCGACCGGTAGCGCAGAGCTTGCCTCTCTGCCTTTGACTTGAAGGAGAAAAAAAATTTTTTAAACCTGCGATCTCTGTCAACTGTCCCTCCGACCAAAACGCTGGCTTACATACGCCTAAGTCCCCCTTCACTCCTCTATTCACCCCAGTCAGGGCTGCCCTTCCCTGCAGAAACTACCCGGGTCAGGGTACGGGGGTCCGTTCTCCATGCTCTGTGTGACCCCCAGGCACCACTCTCCAGGTTCCCCTCTCCTTCTCTTAGCTCCTTGGCTGGTTCTGCCTCAGCTTCCAGCTGCAGTGGTGATTGATGTCCAGAGCTCAGTCCGGATCCCTGCCCTGCTGTCGGCACTCATCTGCGCCAGAACCAAAGCCCCAGCACCAACTGCCTCCTCAGATCAGTTACTTTTCTGTGCATATCTGACATTTCAAGCGAACGCCCAGAATTGCACTCTGCTTCCACCTCACCCCTACCATTGCCAGAGTCCTCATCTCAGCAACAAATTGCCACTCCTCCCTCAGTGGTTTGAGGCAAAAACTCCTCTTTGATTCCTCCCTTGTTTCTACCTCTTAGCTGTTTCTCATCGCCGTGGCCACTTTATTTCTCCTGCAGAACACTGCAGTGCCCCAGTCGGTTTTTTTCCGGTACCGGGAATCCAACTCAAGACCTTGCGCTTGCCAGGCAGGCGCTGTACCACTAAGCTAAATCCCCAGCTCCATTTTTTTTTTTTTTTTGGTACTGGAAATTGAACTCAGGACCTTGCGCTTGCCAGGCAAGCACTTATGCCGCTGAGCTATATCCCCAGCCCCGGTTTTGTATTCTGTCACAAATTCTGTGCTTCTCCAGCGAATGTAGGCATACTCCTGTACTGGATGAGATCTCCGTGCCTCCCTAGGCCTAAGGACGGCCCCTAGGTTCCTACAGAGTGCAAAACACTCCTTTTTAACCCAGGGCTGCATATTAGAATAATCTGGGGAGTTTTAAAAATTACACCTGGGGTCCAGTTCCAGCAACTGACTCAACAATTCTGAGACAGGATTCAGGCATAGGGGGTTGGTGGGCTGTAAAAGTGACCTGTGATTCTTCTGGTAATTCCCAGGAGGTCAGGACCACATGACTGTCTGTGTTCCTTGCTTTAGCATCTGGTTCAGTGGGCTCAAAAGTAAATGTTCGCTAAATAAAGAATTCTTGCTTGCAGGGGGCCCAACCCAAACTCTAAACTTTTCCTAAGCCCTCTCCCATAGGTGGTTAACTTCCCAGCACCCCAGGAATTCTGGGGGGTGCAGCGAGTGAATCATTGGAAGAGGCAGGCCTGGGAATGTGGGCTCAGAGGACAGTGGGTACAAAGGTGTTTTTCCAGAAGGGCCAAAGTCACTTTAAAGACAAACTGGAAATCAGCACTTTGTTATCGACAGCCAGCCCCCTCTGCCCAACTGTGCCCCCGCCCCGGATGAGGACCAGCAGAGAGACACCATCTTCCTCAACTCTGTTCCGCGGTGAGGCGAGGTAAGAGGCAGGTCCGCAGGGCAGTCCCCATCCACCCTTTCCTCCAGGGAGCTGCCCTGCAGGGATGTCGCTGCCCCTTCCCCGCCCCTTCCACTCTGCTGGAGTGCGGGGCTACTACTCACGCGTGCACTGCAGGCCCTTGCGCACGACGCCCCAGATGAAGTCGCCGCAGAGGTCACACCATGTGTGCGTGGTGGGCCCTGCGGGCTGGAAGTGGTGGCCACGGCCTGGGGCCTGCTGCCGCGCGGGCTTGCGCGCAGTGGCAGGCGCGATGCGCAGCGCGTTGGCACGCTCCAGCCGGGTGCGGCCCAGGCCGGGGCGCCCAGTGGGTGACAGCTCCCGCAGCTCAATGAGCTCCGGCTCCATCGACATGGCCCGATCGGGCGGGGTTTTCACCCGCTCTGGCACTAGCGAGTGGGGGGGAGGGCGGGGCCGCAGGGCGGGCTGCGATTTGGGCGCCGCCCGCAAGATCGCGGCTGGGCGGCAGGAAAGCGCTGGGAGATCGGCGAGCCGGGCAGTGAAAACCTGTGCGTCCCGACGATGTTGGCCCTCGGGTGGGACAGGAGGGGGGCACTCTTGAAGAACCCCTACCCTCCTTCTCTCCTTCAACACCCCCACACCAACGACAACGACAGCAAAGCATCATACAGAAGAGAGTTTCCGGGGTTCAGCTTTATTGTGCTAGAGGAAGAGGGTCCCCACATCCGGCTTACCCACACCTCCTGCCCCAGTTTGTTGAAGCTGAGCTCTCCCTGCCCTCAGCCTATCTGCCAGATGGGACAGGAAGTGGGGCGCCTTCCTCTGGTGTGATTGGTGGGGATGGGCCAGCTCTGCTCACCACTGGCAGGACGGAGGCTTGGCAGAAAACAGAGCCAGATCGGCAGGTTCAGGGGAACATGCGTGTGGGTTGCTTTCGTCAGCCCCGAGGAGCCGCGGCCCTCACTTGGCTCTGTTGCCCTGGGCTGCCAGGACGCAAGCCTTCCCATGCTTCTCCCAGTGCTTGACTTGGCACTCCCTGCAGGCGGAGGGGCCAGGTCAGGGTGGCAGGGTGTACGGGGGACCTGGGAGTAGGGGCCTGGGCCCCAGGTCTTGGGATGCCTCACCTGCAGCAGTACCACTCTTTCTGGCATCTGGAGCAGCGCTTGGAGGCCTCTGCACCGCAGTAAGCACAGCGAGGCCTGTCTGGGGCCACTGCCTCTAGCACATCCAGCCTGTAAGTCTCAGCCCATCTGGAGAAGGCATCGGAGGGTGTGACTGGGCCTGGCAAGTAGGCGGCCAGAAGTACCCATGTGCCCCTTCTGCCAGCTCAGCAGCATTCACCTTCGTGCCTGCAGCCGAAGGTCCTGCTCAGAGGGGCTGAACACGTGCTGAAGCTGGTGCTTGGCGATAGCCTGCCACTTGCCTTTGTTCTCTCGCTCCAGCCGCTGCCAGATTTCTGGGATCTGGGTTGGAGAAAGGGTGATGGGCAGGAAGGGGCTGGCGAAGCGAACGGTGCTCCTCAGTGACTAACTTAACAGGTTCCTACCTGTTCCAACACCAGGTCCTTCTTAGAAGGCTGGGTTTCAACTAGGGCCAGGTGGGCCAAGAAGCCCTTCAGATCTGCCAGGTTGGGAAGCTGGTCAAGTAGCGTGTCTGTGAGGAAGGCCCGAAGCTGCAGGGGTGTCCTGGGAGGTCAGTGCGAGACAGGTGCGAGGGCCTGGGCCAGGCTCCTGTGGGGCTTATGTCCCACTAGCTACGAAGCCCAAGATCCAAAAGAGGACAGGGAAGAGACAGACGGGCAAAGATAACCAACAAGGAGGCAGTAGGGGTAGGCTGGGCTAGGGCCACAGGTGCAAAGAGCTCCCCACCTTGAGTAGCTGTCCCTTAGCAAAGCTTGTGAGGCAGTAGCGAGCTCGGGCCTCAGGGCTTAGCAGCAGGTTATACAGGGCGATCCATACTTGCCCTTCTAATTTGCTCAGCTTCTGCTGCTCTGAGGGTGTCACGGCCTGCCATCGGCCACCCTCAAATTGCTGCAGCTTACCTGGGGAGAAAAACCAGGACAGTGGGCACAGGCCTTGCAGTCTCTTTGAGTGAGCCTGGTGTGTGGGATAAAGGACTGCCCACTGCCTGGGCAAGGTGGGAGAGCCTGGGCCCTAGGACTTGCTCAGGCAGTGAGGGTGCTGGCCCCAGAGCAGCGGGGGTCCTCGGCATGGGGATCACAGGATTTGTCTGCTGCAGAGCTAAGGTCCATGCCCACCTGGGTGAGGCATGGTGGCATTCTCTGGGATCTGGGGGAAAGGGTTTGCCTGTGCACAAGCTGCCCACTTGCGTCAGTCCTGAAGGATGGCTGGGCGTGGTGACACACACCTGTTATCCCAGCGTTTGGGAGGCTGAGGCAGGAGGATCGCTGTGAGTTTGAGGGCAGCCTGGGCTACATAGTGAGTTCAGGGGCGGCCTGGACTACATAGTGAGACCTTGTCTCAAAAAAACAAAACAAAACAAAACAAGCTCCCCCCTCCCAAAAAAATCCTGAAGGATGTTTTGGAAGCAGTGGGGTGGAACTTAGGTAGGTGAGAGAAGATCTTACCTCCTTCCTGCCGTTTCCAAGGACTGTGCTCCAGCAGTTCTACCAGGAGGCAGGGTAGGTTGTGGGTGCTGAGCATGCGGCTCAGGGTGCTCAGGGAAAGGCTGGGGGAGGGGTGGCATGGAGGTGAGCAGAGGACACAGGCCCGGTCTTCCAGCTCGCCACTGGGCGCCAGGCCCTGGAGGACGGCCTACCTGTCCACACAGTCTGTGATGTAGCGCAGAACTGAGAGGGCCTTCAGTGAGATCTCAAATTCCATCAGCTCTGCCTGGTTCTGCAGCTCCTGGGAGGGCCACACAAGTGTTCCAGCTGGGCCACCCCTGCCCACACAGGCCTCGGGAAACCCAAACGGTGGGCTTTTCCCGCCTTAGGAAGCCTCAACCTACCTGCATGGGGGTACGATCCTGGAGCCCCTCTTCTTTAGGCGGGCCACCATGGCTAGTCTTGCCTACCAGCAGCGTCAGTTTGCGGTGGCAGTAGTCCACCAGGTCTAAGAGAGTGTCATCTGCTGATTCACACACCTCCTAGTGGGGCACAGGAGGGAAAACCATCTCTCTCTCTCTCTCTCTCTGATGCCTTCCCCACAGGGACACAACCAGCGAGGCCCTGGGCGGAAGCAGTTGTCCTCAGGCAGGGACAGCGCCTCACCTTGTGGAAGAACACTGTCTCCAGGAGGTTGATGAGGGAAGCCTCATGGTGTACCTGTCAAAGACAGGGCCTGGGCTGCAGGGAGGGAAGCGGCCAACTTGAACACGACTAACTTGACCCTGAGGGGTCAGAGGGGGCTCGTGAGCTACTTCCTTCCCCAATGTCAGGTCCACGCTCTCACTCAAGGGCCTAGAAACTTCCCCTATCCCAGCGGCCTCACCCTTCGGAGCCTGAGGTGAGAAGACAGGGCTTGGGCTGCAGGAGGGGTGGGGCTACCAGCTTCCCGGTCCAGGGTTCTCTGACAGCGTGAGGAGCTCTGAGCCAGGGGCCCAGCTCACCACCATGTATATGGGGAAGGTGTTCAGAGGCTTGAAGTCCTCCAGCTTGCATAGCACAGGGAACACCTTCAGCTTCCACATCTCCACTGCAATCAGCTCTTCCACCAGCGCTGGGATCTTTCAGAGGTGAGAGAAAGAATAGGGGTGACATAGACCTACTTTACCCGACATTCGCTTCCATCTCTGGCTTAACTAGGGTCGGTGGTCAAGCTGGTGGTCAAGCTCCCCTGGGTCCCTAGAGTCCCCCAGGCCCTGTAAGTACACTTCCCCCTGTCTCCCCTTAAACCTTCATCTCCACTCCCCGGACTACTCTGGGGACACCCACCGGCTCCCGTGATGGACCACTGCCTGTCATCAAGCTGCCTTGCCCCTGCGCCCGCACCTCCACCCCGCGCCCCCATCAGGCATCCCTCTGAGGCCGGCCCTCTTCCTCACGCCCTCCCTCCGGCCTGTCTTCTGGCCTTCCAGGCTCTTCCTTGTGTCCTTAGCTCACTCTTATTCAGGGCTCTTCGTACTGTTCTATTCTGTTGAGGACCACGCTGTATAATTGTCGGGGGAAAATCATTTCATAATTAAATTGTGATGAGGGCTTGTCCTACGCTAGTGCCTTGCCACACGGGCCGGTTGCGGTGTGTGGGAACATAGTTCTGTGCGCCTCTGGTCACAGTTGAGGCCTCAGTGGTCCCTTGCTGCTGCACCGCCCCTGGGCAAGATTATGTCAGCTGAAGACATCCAGGTTCCTTGAGAACCCAGGAGGAATAAAAGTAAGAGTTTCAGCTGGGGGAAAGGACAAACTCCTTTTTTTTTTGTCTTTTTGAGACAGGGTCTTGCTATGCAGTTCAGGCAGACCTTGAGCTCACTTTGTAGCCCAGGCTGGTCTTGATCTTGCAACAATCCTCCTGCCTCGGCCTCCCAAGGGCTGGGATTACAGGCGTGCGCCACCACGCCCGGCTCAAACTCGTTTTTTATTTTTCCGGTACCGGGAATCGAACTCATGACCTCCCGCTTGCCAGGCAGGCCCTGTGCCACTGAGCTAAATCCCTAGACCCCTCCTTTCTTTTTTTTTTAACTGGGAATCAAACTCAGGGCCTCACAGTTGCCAGGCAGATGCTGTGCCACTGAGCTATATCCCTGGCCCCAACAAATTCCTTCTTAACCTGCCATCTCTCCCCACCCTCCTCATCAACATAAAGATCCTCGTCAGCATAAAGTCATCACTGCCCTCTGATTATAGAATACACCCAATAAACGGTAGCTGGCTCGGAGTGTCTTTGTCTCTGCCCCTCCTGAGCCACTGACGTCCCAGTCCCCTATCATGAATTACTTAAATTTGTCTCTCTCTCTTCTTTTCTTTTTGTCTTTTTGAGACAGGGTCTCACTATGCAGTTCAGGCTGGCCTTGAGCTCACTTTGTAGCCCAGGCTGGTCTCGAACTCATAGTGATCCTCCCGTCTCAGCCTCCTGAGTGCTGGGATTACAGGTGTATGCCAGCACACCCGGCCCTGTCTCTTTCTTATTTCATCCTTTTGCTGTACCCCTCACTAGGCAGACGGGGGACTGATCGGTTCCCGATGCTATTCCTACCCTATCCCTGTGTAGTGGGCTTGCAACAGAACCCTTTTATCAAGTGATATCTTGTGTCTTCTGTTTGTGCTACTTCCCGGCTGTCTTCCAGCCAGTCACCGCCCTGGTTTCTGATTCTGCCTCTCCCCTGTCAGAAAGGCTGCTTCCTTCTAAACCAAAGTCCCACATGTACTTCACTGAGAACCTCCTCTGGCTGTACAGTCAGTTTGGGGTGACGTTAGCACTTGGGGCCTCCCCTACAGCCTAGCCTGGTCTCAGATCCACAATCGTCTCTGTAATCCACCCGGCCTCCATCACAGGCCTGGCGTGCCTGACTTCTGTCTGAAAGGCCTATCAAAGGGAATGTAGCACAGTACTCTTCCCCTTTAGGGAGGGAGGTGTACCGGCCCAGAGAGCACAGACCCTATGTGCCCCTGAGGGTAGAGTGGCCGAGGTACAGCAAAGGCAGGCAGGAGCCCCGGCTGTACCTTTCCATAGGTTACCAGCAGCTCCTGGATGGGCTCCCCCTGGCTGACCGTGGCGTCAAGGATGGCCTGCATGTTCAGCTTCTCCAAGTTCTCATGCTGCTGGCTCCACCTGCGCCAGAAGAGTGCGTGCATTGGGAGCCCAGGGGTGCACCAGGGGTGGGGGGCTGGGCCGTACTGATGACTAACTTGATCCTGAGGGGTCGGAGGGGGCTCGTGAGCTACGTACTCCTAGTCCCTTCCCTAGTCAGGTCCAAGCGCTCCCCGTCGAGGCCCTGGATCCGCCTGTCCCGGCTGCCTCACCCTTCGGAGCCCATCTCCTGAGGCGGGAAGCTGCGCAGTTGCTGCACGAGCGAGTCAGCTTCCCCGGGCAGCAGCAGCTCCAGGTCGCCCATGTCGAGTACAGGGTCCTCTTGGGCAGTGGCTGGGGCTGGGGCGCTAAGACACTCTGGGACTGCTGACGCCGGCAGGGGTAAGGTCTGGGACGGCACAGTTGCTGGACAGTTGCTGGGCAGTTGGAGCGCGTGGGTCCTCGCCGCCATGGAAACGGTAGCCCGCGCCTGCGCAGTGTGGCCCGACGGCCACGCCCACCCTCGCCACGCCCACCCTCGCCACGCCCACCCGCAATAGATAGCAACGCTTGGAGACTCGCAGGATTTCTTTTTCACAGCAGCCGGCGGCCCGCGAGTCTCTCAACCGGATTCTTGCGGCCTACACTCTCCCCGGACTTCAACTTGGCTTGCACAGGAGTGGGGTAACCCGATCCCCACCAGCTACTCCTGCAGCTGTGCCTCTTGAACCGCCCCAAGCCCGCAGCTTTGCTCCCTCCCGTCCAGACTGTTCATGGGATAAGCGCCCCAGTCTCCACCAGACCAGCTTCCGCTCTGGACCCTCCCGCAGCTAGGAGGCTTACAGGTGTGCGTCAGACATTACCCCTTCGCAGGCGGGCGGCTCTGCGGCTCTCTGGCCCTCCGGATCCTAGCACAGAAGCGGTTCACCAGCAGCTCTGCAGGATTATCCCTTGGCCCTTCTCCTACCTTGGGACTTTGATGTATTTATTTGGTGTTGGGGAGTGAACACAGGGCCTTCGAATGTAATTCAGGCTGGCCTTCAACCCATTCTATAGCCCAGGCTGGCCTCTAACTCATGGCAATTCTGCCACAACCAGCCATTTTAATTTTATTTTACTTTAGTTTTGAGACAGGGTCTCACTAAATTACTAAATTGCTCAGGCTAGGATCTAATTTGCGATCTTCCTGCCTCTGCCTCCCAGAGTGCTAGGGTTACAGGCGTGCTGCACTACACCCGACTGGGACTTTGAATCTGTCTCTTTCATGTTCTACCTCATGGGCTTCTCTTGGGTTCCTCTCAAGTCAGACTTTTTCCCCAAAAAAGTAAAGGCTTTGCACCCTTTGACTCAAGGGTCTGCACTTGTTTCCTCTCTTGGAATACTCTTCCTGCCCCAGGGGTCAGTTCAAATCATTTCCGTGTGGTCTTTCTTGCCCATTTAATCTACAGCAGTCCCTGTTCCCATTTCATTAGTACATCTGTTTCGGGCTGTTTTGTTTTTTAAATTTTTTTTGTCTTTTTGAGATAGGGTCTCACTATGCGGTTCAGACTGGCCTTGAATTCACTTTGTAGCCCAGGCTGGCCTCAAACTTGCAACGACCCTCCTGCCTCAGCCTCCCGAGTGCTGGGATTACAGGTGTGCGCCACCACACCCAGCTTGGGCTGTGTTAGTTCACAATCAAGGGGCACGTTTATGTCGATAAAGGGGCGCCTATATCGATTCTGTCCACCAGATGGCGCTCCAGCGCGCCGTATTCGTGGCTATTTTGTTTGCTGCTACCTCTTAGGGGGCTGACTCAGAGGCACTCAATAAAGGTAGGTTGAAATGGAGACTTTATTTACAGCGCTGGGGGCCACCCTCCAGCAAATACTAGTCTACTTGTGTAGCCCCCATGTACCAGGCAGGACTTAGTAGGAGGGAGCAGACACAACAATACTGCCCCCCAGCCCGCCTCACTTCCAGCAGATGATGATGTTGGGGTCGTTTTCCAGCCGCTCGTCCAGCTCGTGATAGCTCATCCCTGGCGGGTGGGGGTGGGGTGCGTCAGAGCCTCGGCCGGGCCACCCTGCCCTGGCCGCCCCCCAGCCTGCCCCCACCTGTCTTGCAGCAGATCTCATCATAGCTGTGGCAGCCGGTATAGAGGCGGGCAGGATGGCTCTGCTCCTCCCGCGACACCCGCACAGGGTACTTCTGCAGTCGGCGTATGAGGTTCTTCATAAGCCCGAACTGGATCAGTTTCCTGGGGTGGGGGCCGGCGCAGAGCGGGGACAGGTCGGCCACTTCCTGCAGGCTCCCTTTCAGTTCCGTCTCGGGGCCAGGCTGACCTCCAAGCCCCTCATCCCCAGGCCTGCCCGGGCTGGCTGTGCCCAGGGTTTCGCTCACTGGGAGGTCCCCTGCTTCCTCCCCGACCCAGGCCTTCCCCCTGAAGTAGCAGTTCACTTGCGCTCAGGCGACACCCCCCTCAGGGAACGCCACTCTGACCGTTCGTCCACGCGCTGCAGCTGCTGGGGGTGGCGGCCGATGAGGTCTCGCACGGTGGTGCCAGGGCTCAGGCTGCAGTACAGCTGGAACACGTCCCGGAGACTGGCTCTTTTGTGCCCTGTGGGCACCGGGGTCAGCTCAGCAGGTGGCCCTGCCCTCCCCAAGGTGCCTCCCCCGGAGCCCACTACTACCTTGCTTGGTTACGAAGGACAGACACGCCTCCTGAAGGGACTTGTCATCTACCAGGTCCTGCACTCTGGGTGTCGGGCAGTACACGTTGGAGTACTAGAAGGCACAGGAGCCTGAATGACAGGCCTGGGCTCGGGCAGCTGGACCCACCTGGCCAGTCACCTGGTCCACACTTCGCTCGTCCACACTCTGACTCACCTACCTGGAGGATGGACACCAGGGTCACCACGCCATAGTACCTAGGGGAGAGAGAACCACGCCATAGTACCTGGGCGAGAGAGACGCGTCAGCTTCCGAGGACGCGCCTGGTCAGCCTGTACTCAACCCTCGGCTCTCTCCTGGCGGGTGGCCGTACACTGGGCGTGGCTGTGGCCCCACTTACAGCAGGTTCTGGATGGCAATGCGCACCAGGTTGAGCTCCACGTCTGCCTCAGCTGAGATCTTCTGGACATGGCGGAAACCATCAATGTAGGGCAGGATCTGCTCAGAGCAGGGCGGGGTTGGTGGTGGCAGATGGGGCCGGGGCTGTGGCCAGACCCAGGTGGTGCTCCTCGGGGAGGGCTGGCGTACCTGTTGTGTGGTGAGGTCCCACTGTGCGTTGAAGAAATCCTCCTTGTCCTTGGTAAAGACAGGGACATCATACTCCTGGGCCACAGGGGGATCTGGCCGCTGCTCAATCACCTTCAAGTGGATGGTGTTGGATTCATCTGCAGGGGACCCCATCCGTATCCTCAGGGTCCTCTCTCCCAAGAGACCCTTAATTACCTTCCACACCTACCAGAATCCCTTGAGGCAGGCAGGTGGCTCTGAGGATGGTCTTTCTTTGCTTTCTCTTCCTTTCTTTTTTGTGGTACCAAGGCCTTGGGGCCAACGATTGGTACCAAAAAGCATTCTACCATTACGCTACATCCCCAGCCCATTTATTTCATGTTTTGCTTTTCTGAGACAGTGTCTTGCTATGTAGTTCAGGCTGGCCTTGAACTCATGTAGCCCAGGCCAGCCTTCAATTTGCGATGATCCTCCTGGGATTACAGGCGTGTACCGCCATGGCTGGCTTTTACTTTTATTTTGAAACAGCATTTCACTAAGTTCCCCAGGCTGGCCTCACACTTGCCATCCTCCTGCCTCAGCCTATTGAGGAACTAGGGTTACGGGTGTGCACCACCATTCTTCCCCTCGTTGAGAAGCAGGTCCACGGGAAGGAATGTGCCCAAGGGGCACAGTGTGCCCGTTCTGGTGGCTGCCCCCCTGTGCATCACACACAGCAGCCTGGACATCGTCACCTCCACCTAGGCTGTTTTCTGGTCACCAGTGTTCCAGAGTCTTGTCCTTCTTTCCCAGCAGGTGTTCTCACTTTCTCCTCCACTTTCCTATCCTGTTCATGGGCTGTCCTCACAGAGGCCACGGCATACCTATGGGCAGGGTACACCGGCCAGAGGCGTTCAGCTCCTCCAGTAAGATGGTCATGATGGGCACCAACTTCTGCTTGCTCTCCTCTGTGGACACGAAGCTGCTCTCTAGCTGGGTGGAGGATGGACAACACAGTGGGTGTTCCAGGGCCGCCGACTGGCTGGGTGCCCGTCTGGGTTCTGAGCTAGGTGCAGGGTGAGGTTGGGGCTCTGGAGCCGTAGGAATACTCTCCCCGCTCTGCCTTCCACACACCCACCCCGGCCCGCCTCGGTGCACACCTCCAGTGTGGTCAAGTAGCCTGCCAGCTTTTTCACAATGGGCTCCAGGGCACAGGTCTTGGCCTGGGCATCGCACACGAAGCCCAGGTTGAAGAGCAGGGCGTTGCGGCTGTACTTCTTGTGTTCGATGCACACAGGACAGCCGATCAGCTTCTTTTCCATGGCTGTGCTGCACGGGTGGGACAGAGTCAGGACTGCCCCTGAGAACCCTCCTCCCAGGACCCCCGACCTCCACCCAGCTGGGGCCTCACACAGTGATGAGCTTGTTCTGAAGCTCTGGCTTGGTGATGATGTACACTTGGACAGTGTCAAACAGCTCCCGCGAGATGAAGTCCTCAGGGACCTGGGCAGGAGTGGCAGGAGGCTGCTCAGTGGACAGTGGGGCTGGGTGGGGTTCCCAGGACAGCCCCGCCCAGTTCTCTCAGTTTCCTTATCTCCCACCCGGGCTACTCCCTCCTTTGGATTTCCAGACACTGCTCTCCCTGGCTTCCTGGCTTGTGCATTCGCTGTTCCCTCCACTGAAACACCCTTTCCTAGGTCACCTACTGTCCTGTGCGTCATTTAGGTCTCAATCCAGTGATTCGCTTCCCCGAGTCCGCCCCTGGACCCTACAGCTTGATTTTCCAAGAACACTGATTATGTGATGTAGTGTCTCCCTTGCCACAACAGAAACCTGAGGCTTAGGGGGCTGGGGGTTTAGCTCAGCGGCAAAAGCGCCTGCCTGGCAAGCGCAAGGTCGTGAGTTCGGTTCCCAGTACCGGAGAAAAACCAAAAAAAACAAAAAAAAAAAAAAAAAAAAAAAAAAAAAAAAAAAAAAGAAACCTGAGGCTTAGATCTGAGTATCGTTCCCGTTCACCATTATCCGCGAATGCCTGCACCCAGCAAGAGAATCCGCCGCCTCCAGCCAGCCAGATGAATTCCCGAAAGGGTCCCTCTCTCCGCCCCAGTCCCTTGAGCCCTGGTGGCACCTGATAGGTGATCTTGGGTCCCAGCGTGGGGTGGAACTCGCTGAAAAATATGCATTCGATGCGGCAGCTGCTGGCCATGGCGCTAGCCGCTTCCAGGTCGGTAGCTCTTGATCCTTGGCGTGAAGGAGTCACCACCCCGAAAACGAATCTTGGGTCACTAAATGCAGCCGACCTGCGCGCACACAGCAGCTAAGCAGTCGGCTCAATAGCGCCTGCGCAGCGCGACTCTGAGGCGTGGCTGGGGGGCTCGTCCCAGGAAGTCTCGGGTGGGTGGACGTCGCACCCGGAAGTGAAGCTGCTCCGTGACGGAGCGGCGGCGCGTGCGGCGGAACCCAGAGCGCCCGGCTTTCTTTTTTGTAGAAAAGCACCGCGTCTGGTCGGCGCTACAGGTGAGGCGGGCAGATCCCTAGCCTGAAGGTGCAGCATGCTAGCGGCACGTGGGGAGGCAGTGCGCAAAAGGATTCGAGCTGTAACTGACTACGCAGCTGGGAACTACAATTCCCAGAGTGCTCTGCGCCCTCCCAGTTTGGGCTCCCGAGCATGATGCACTCTGGGATTTGTAGTTTTTCCTGAGCTTGCGCATCCTACCTTAAAAGTGCTCTAGGGATCGTGTCGATTCAGGTACAAATAGACACTGACGGGTTGCCGGCCTTCCCCTGGCAATTTGCGACTATTCCTGGTGCCAGCCTTGGTCTGTTCCTTCCTACCATAACTTCTTGGAAGAGGGTGACAGTCCTGTCCTATAAGCCTTTCTGTAGTGAGAGGCTTGGAGAGTGACTCCTGCCAATGCTACTGTGCTTTCAGGATACAGCTGCCGGTCCGGCTGACCATGGCCCTTTCTGTGGAGACCGAGTCGCACATCTACCGAACTCTGCGCACTGCCTCTGGGGCTGCAGCTCACCTCGTGGCCCTGGGCTTTACCGTCTTTGTGGCTGTACTTGCCAGGCCTGGCTCCAGTAAGTAGAACTCATGGTTGGTTTCTTAGGGAACAGGGGCGGTACGAAGCCTTGGGCCTGACTCCTGGGAACAGACCTGACATGCTGAGGAATATTCTGAATATTCTGTGCTGGAGGGACAGTGTTCTGGGTGGAGCAGGTAGGTGTGGGGGCTTTGCCAGCGTGGCCAGGCCCTACAGAGTACCTGGTTTTCTTTCCTTATCGCGGTGCTTCATTTGGGAGGTGCTGGAGGAGTGGCAAAGCATGGCCTCTGATCCGGGAAGAGGGGATGGGTGGGGCTCCCATTTTGGCCACACCCCCTTAGGTGGTGGGCTGCCCGTGTCCCTTAGCCGGTAGGAAGCGGTATGGCTAGCGTCCTGTTGCCTCAGCTCCACAAATCCTCCTCTTCTCATTCCAGGCCTGTTCTCCTGGCACCCTGTGCTTATGTCTCTGGCTGTAAGTAGTGGGTCTGCATAGCTTTAGGGGTGGGAGCATGGGTTTGGGTGGTGGCCCCTGAATCTGCATGCTCCAACTCCTACCCCTGGTGTATATCCCAGGCTTGAACCAGGGCAGATGTCTAAGCACAAGATGAGGCTTCTCCAAATTCCAGGCAGGGAGCTGAAAAACTGCGTTTGGAGGTTCCCATTCCTTTTTACCTTAATTCATGGTGATATATCTAATTTCCTCTGAACACCCATATAGTCAGCTCTTGCCAAGAAACTGTATCCAGCCCATGGGAGGGAGAGACAGTGTTTGAATCATTTATAACTGCCACATTGCAGCCTTGTTTGCTGGGTAGCACAGCAGAGCAGAGCTGACATTAGGAATAGCCCCCAGGAAGAAGTGTGGTGAGCCTAGAGCAGATGTCCTGTCCCAGAGGCGGCTCTCCACGCCTGCTCCACCGGACAGGCTTGTCCATGGGGAGAGACGAAAGGCAGCATCAGCTCAGGTGCACGGACAGCTCGAGGGGTTATCTAAGGCCTCCTCTGTGGGCACAGCATCTCACTCACTTCTTCTCCCCCTGTCTCCTCAGTTCTCCTTCTTGATGACCGAGGCGCTACTGGTGTTCTCCCCCGAGAGCTCACTGCTGCGCTCCCTCTCCCGGAAGGGTCGAGCCTGCTGCCACTGGGTGCTGCAGCTGCTGGCCCTGCTGAGCGCACTGCTGGGCCTGGTCCTCGTTATCCTTCACAAGGAACAACTTGGCAAAGCCCACCTGGCCACACGGCATGGGCAGGCGGGGCTGCTAGCTGTGCTGTGGGCAGGGCTGCAGTGTGCAGGGGGCGTGGGGCTGCTGTACCCCAAGCTGCTGCCCCGATGGCCCCTGGCGAAGCTCAAGCTGTACCATGCCACTTCAGGGCTGGTGGGCTACCTGCTGGGTAGTGCCAGCCTCTTGCTGGGCATGTGCTCACTGTGGTTCACTGCCTCTGTCACTGGTGGGGCCTGGTACCTGGCTGTGTTATGCCCCGTTCTCACCAGCTTGGTCATCATGAATCAGGTGAGCAATGCGTACCTGTACCGCAAGAGGATCCAGCCATGAACTCTTCCCAGCCAAGGGGCAGCTAGATTTGCCCCTCCGGGTAGGTGCTGGGGCTGGGGCCCTCCTGGACTGTCTTGCTGATTGCATCAGGGGACACTGAGGCACTGGGGCAGTCATGGGGAGGAATCCCGTGTGTGGCGGTTTTGCTCATGTGTGAATGCTTCTCTTCTCCCTCCCTCTCCATCATCCCAGAGGAGCCCGTGGATCGTGTGTCTGGGTGAAACTGGGGCTGCAAGACGCCTCCCCAGCAACGCAGCTCGGACTTGTACTGGTATATCCAGAAATTACAGGGAGAAAAAAAGAAAATAAAATTATATGAAAACTGACGGGAGGAGCAGCCCAGAGTTGGGGACGGTTCTCACTCAGCACAAGGAAACAGGCCCAGGCAAGGTGGGGACCTGTTCTGAGTGGAGGAGGCCGTCCTAGCACGCAGGTCCCCGGGATGTGGCTGCTGAGTCTCCTATGCCCCCGAGGGCTCTAGGAGACCCTAGAGCTAGAGCCGTGAGTGGTAAAGCTGTGCCTGCTCTGGCCTCCAGCTGCGGCCTGTGCGTCTCCAGCTATGGCGGCTGGATGTAGACAGCGACAGGTGGGGAGCTAGGGCCGGGTAGGGGGCAAGTACAGAGCAGTCTCTCTTCGAGGGGAAACACGGGCAGAAGCAACTGCTTCGGATGGGGAGGCCCTGCGCTGTCAGATCCTCTGGGGGCGCAGAGGGGACCCTCGACCGGGGGCTGGAGAGAAACGGAGAGGAGGAAGGGTCTGAGGTGATGGCTCTGAGATGGCTGCCTAGCAGCAGGCATACGGGAGGGAAGAGGGGTGCAGAAGGGGCTGCCTATCCAGGCGGAGATGCCACGGAGAGGAAGTCCTCGGACCCCAAGTAAAGAGCATCTAACTTTGCAGTGGAGCATGAGGAAGGGCTGCACAGGGTGGCCTGAGAGAGCCCAGGAGTCACACGTCAAAGAAATGCTTTATTGATACTCCAAGGCTGGGCGTGGCTGCCCGCTCAAGTGGTCCTGTAGAAAATACCTGGGAACTGTGGCTCTTCCGGCCCAGAGGCAGTCACGGGCACAGCAGAGGGAAACAAGACATCCCGACAAGCTCAGTCTCCGGGGGTGAGCAGGGGCGTGCAGCTTCGCACCGACTCCTGCACTGGCCGGGCCTCCCTAACGTTTTTGGCAAATGTAAATCCTTGCCTTGGCTCAGCGTTCTTGGCAACCAGTTTCAGACGCGAGGGCTGGGCCGGGAGCTGTGGCGCCAGTGTCCCTGCAGCCACTTGCTCAGGGCTGCCTCCTGAGGTACAGTCTTACCTCAGACGGGGTCCTGCACTGGCTGTGCCTCAGAGGCCCCAGGCCTGACCGAGTGGTTGTCTGGAGTTGGAACCAGGCAGCAAGGGTGCTTGGTAGTGTTGGCAGAACGCAGCAGAAGGCCCTGAAAGCCCCCGAAGGCCTTGCTGCCTCTCCTCAGAGTGGTCGTGCCCTGGAGGAGCTGAGACGCATCAAGGGGGCTCGGGAGAGGAGGTGCTGCACGCAGGTGGTCTGGAGTTACAGCGCGGGGGGAGCTGCCTCAAAGGTGATGAGACTGGATTCGGGGGCAGCCTCCTTCCCGGCAGGGGTAGGAGCTTTTTCTGAGGGCAGGGGGCTGTCCACCTTGGCCCCAGCCTCCTCTTCATCGTCATCCATGCTGGGCCAGACAGACTGGTCCTCCACTCTCTTCAGCCGCTCGTTCAGGGCCTTCAGGGCCAGTTGCCTAGAGCCAGAGAAGGAGGGACAGGTCACTCGGTTCGGGCCTGCCCACACCCTGCGCCCTTCACCCGTAGCTGCCTCCCCCTACCACGCACGAAAGTCTCTCCCGGAGTCCCATGCTGCCCTTTCCCGTGAGGTCCCAGTACTCCCCCGAGACTGGGCTGGGGCCCACTCTGCTGTCAGAACGAGGACTCCAAGGCTGTAGTTTTCTCCTCATAGCTGGGGCACTTGCAGGCTGCAAAGGCCAGCTGGCTGTTTGCCAGGCCCACTAGGCTGGGCATGAGAAATGGCTCTGGGTTTGTTGTCTCAGGGCGGTGGATCTAGTGCTCCAGGGTAGGTGGGTAAACTGGCTCCTGCCTAGGCACTGGTGTCACATCCAAGAAGAAGGTAATTCCTTCTCCTGCTTAGGGTCATCTCAGACGTCTTGGAAAGGGTCTTTTGAGAAAAAGTGGCACTTAGCACTCCCTCTGCACTCAGCCCAGGAGGCAGGCCAGCTTGCGTCAGTTTACCCCCTTAACTCCGAAACCTTCTCTTCCCTGGCATGGTGGGTCACGCCTATAATCTCAGCACTCGGGAGGCTGAGGCAGGAGGATTACGGCAAGTTCGAGGCCAGACTGGGCTACAAAGTGAGCACAAGGCCAGCCTGAACTGCACAGTGAGACCCTGTCTCAAAAAGACAGGAGAAAAAAAAAAAAGAAACCTTCTCTCTTGTAAGATTCCTCACATTTGCGAAGACCTGTGTTAGCAAAGGTACTTAGCAGAACCCTGGTAGGGAGAAACAGCTCACAGCGGTGGGCCTGGGCCAGAGCCTGGTGTTTCCCTGGGGCAGGCACCTGGAGGTGCCACTCTGCGGGGAGGTGGGAAAGTCCACTAGCAGGTATGTCCATGTGCTTGGTACCCTGGCCTACCAGAAAGCAGAGTGACCACGCTGCCGGGTAAACGTCTAACAGTGCTCACTGTGGACGCCTGACGCCTCATCCTTCCTGTGCCACCAGGATGGGGACAGCCTGGATAGCGTTCCAGGTTCTACGAGAGAACCAAAATCACCATGGCACAGACTAAGGCAGAAGAGGCAACAAGGCCACGGACCCGGAAAGCCCAGCATGCTTTCCCCTGCCCCCCACCCTGGCATACGGCAAGTTGGCACTGACAGCACAATTCTTTCTTCTTGCTGCCAAGGCTTCCATCCCAGAGATGCGTTTGCCAGTTCTGTCTAAAGCTGGCCGAGGCAGAGGGACAGTGCCGTGCTAGTCACTTTCTCACGGGTCAAAGGGACAGATGGGAATACTGCCTTCCACTAGGGGCCCTTAGGTGTGGGCGGGGCCTGCAGCCAGACAGCGAACAGGAGGAGTGAAATGCAGGTAACCTACCCCTTGCTCCCGCCTCGCCCCTCCCTGCCTCTGCTCATTTTCTTTGACCCGGTGTTTTGTGAATGTCCAGTCAACCCTAACAATCTAAGACCTCTCACAGGAGGAGGGGCCGCCACCACTGGCCCATTCCCACCAGAGCAGCTCCAAAGGCCCCTCAGTTCCTCCCAGGCCCAGCCCTCCCGGCCCCATCTCCTCTGCTGGGTAATATCCAAACAGACCGCTGTCTTTAGGACTTATCACCCAGAGAGCCAAGCTGTAGGGCCCAGAAACAGACCCTGAAGTAAGCTGCCAGTGCTTCTCCACACATATCCCCGGGGCCCACCGATCTTGACACTTTCAAGGAAGGGATGCATTCTGCCCCCATGCTGCACAGCCCCGTGGGAGAGTGCTCAGGAGTCACTCTGCTGCTGAATTCAGAAAGCTTCCTGCCTGAGCCCATTTCACAAATGAGAGAAAGCAAGGGCCTTTGACAAATGCAAAAGGAAAAAGCTTGTACCAGGTTGTCTCAAAAAACTCAGTACACCAGGTGTGGTGGTGCATGTCTATAATCCCAGTACTCAGGAGGCTGAGAGGCAGAAGGACTTTGAGTTTGGGGCCAGCCTGACCTATAAAGTGAGACCCTGTCTCAAAACAAAACAAAACAGATACCCAAAATAAAACCTCTCAAGCTAGGCGTGGTGGCACAGCCTGTAGTCCCAGCACTCGGGAGGCTGAAGCAGGAGGATTGCCCTGAGTTTGAGGCCAGCCTGGGGTACATAGTAAGACCTTGTCTCAAAAAAAGAAAACAAAAACAAAAAGAATAATATTGAGAATGATGGAGTTGTGGACTTTGTGGAAACGGTGACGACTCTGAGGAATCCAAAGATAGGGGAGAGTAAGAAGTGAATTAAAAAGAGCTCTCCTGCCTTGGGCAAAGTGTATCCAGTGAATAATTCAGTTGGGATTCCTGGTGCTGCAAATGGCTTGGTTTATAGATAATGCAAATACCTCCATTTTTTGGTGTGGTCAAGCCTTGGTGGTGGGATCATGTAGCAAGCCTGTGCCTAGGGTGTGGGGACACATGCCTGCTAAGGGGGGTGGTGAACATGGTAATCTCCCGAGCTTCCTGAAGTAAGTGGCAGAGAAGTAAGGCGCAGGAAGAGAGAACAGTCCAGCACTTGGAAACTAGGGTGGCCCACATCACCTTTCTTCTTTGTACCAGAGACTGAACCCAGGGCAAGTGCTGTATCAATGAGCTACATCCTTAGCCTTGTTTACATTTTCATTTTTGTTATTATTTAATTTTATTTATTTATTTATTTGTCTTTTTGAGACAGGGTCTCACTACGCAGTTCAGGCTGGCCTTGAGCTCACTTTGTAGCCCAGCCTGGCCTCAAGCTTGCAGCAGTTCTCCTGTCTCAGCCTCCCGAGTGCTGTATTTTATTTATTTATTTATTTAGAGACAGGTTTCAGTATGTAGCCCAGGCTGGTATCCAACTTGCCACTATCCTTCCTTAGCCTCCTGAGTGCTGGGATTACAGGCATCTACCACCATGGCTGGCCCTACATTTTAAAAATTAATTTCTTGTAGTGCTGGGGGTTGACTCCACAACCTTGCACGTTTCGCTCGCACTGTGTGACTGAGCTACGCTTCCCTTCCCCCACTTTCGAGACAAGGTCCCCCCAAGTTTCCTGGGCTGGCCTCAGACTTGTGATCCTTCAGCTCAGCTTCCCAAGTAATCGGGGTTACAGGTGTGTACTACAGTGCCCAGCTCAGGTCCTTTTAAGGACCCCAGTCATCCTTCCCCGTAGCCTCTTCACCGGGCAGAAAGGGTCAACAAGTTGTTTCTGGATCCCAGGCCCGGCGTGCAGGATCTGGGGATTCTGAAGCAAGGCAGGGAGTGGCAGACCTCCAGTAGCCCCTTGCACAGCACAAAGGGAATTCAGCATTGCCTGAGGCTCGTGAAGTGGCTAGAGTGAACCCTGACACCTGCATGCCGAGTTTCTCCGGATCAAAAACCGGATCTTCTCTCTCTCAACCCGCCCAGCAACTACAGGTCACCAGCCCATGGGCAGCGACCGCCTCGAGGCTGGCATGTGATTCGCCAAACGCTCCTAGCTCGCTAAGATTCTGGGAGATTTCACGGTACCTTCGCCGCTCAGCGTCTTGAGGGTCTGTGCCTGGCAGGCTGATGGTGATGGAAGACGGGGCTCCCACATCGTAGCGCTTTACCGTCTTCTGGCACAGCTTCACCTTCACCAGGAGGCCGTGCACCACGTTCGCCAGCAGCCCCACCACCGGCTGCAGGATCTCCGGGAAGAAGGTGGCGAAAGCGAAGTGGTCAGCCATGTCCCCTCGGCCCCGGCTATGGCGCTGGTAGAAGCGAAGGTAAACCCAGCTGGAGAGCAGCCCAAAACCGTAAGAAGCCAGAGCGGGGCTCTGGAGCAGCGTGGCCAGCCGCAGCAGGAGCAGCAGCGCCAGCAGCAGCATGGGCACCACGCTCACGCGCACCTGGGGCACCCGCAGGACCACGCAGTCTCCCATGGTCTGCTTGAGCGCCACCAGGACCCCCGCCAGGAAGCCCAGCGCGCCGTGGATGCGGACGGTGAACAGGTAGACCAAGTTGAACGAAGCCATGTAGGTGAGGAGGTAGGCGAAGGCCCCCAGGAGCCCCACAGACACATTCACCACCGAGAAGAAAATCAGCAGCTCCAGAGCGCCCCAGAGCGGCTCCAGCAGACGCCCCGCCGCCACCACGGTGGCCAGGCTGATGGCCACGTCCCACGCGTGCTGCTCCATCAGCCCGTGGGTGGCCAGGGTCCAGACCCAGAAGTTGGGCGGGAAGAGGTAGCCCGGGGTGACGGCCAGGCAGCCCGTGTCCACGGCGAAGGACAGCAGGTAGAGGAGCAGCACCGCCGCGCACAGCGCCTTCACCACCACGCTGGCGCTGGCCAGCGCGGCCCCCAGGTGCTGGCGGGCGCCCGGGAGGGCGCGC